AATAAATTTGGAAATTATGTAACGTTATTTTCATAATACTTTATTGTTCATCACTAGACATTAATTATTGATATATGTTTGTAGATTTAAACGTAGAACACGCTCAGCTAGTTCTCTTCTTATTCCATTCCCTGAATTTAATGCAAAAGAAGTCTGTATTATTGGTAACTGGAAGTGGTGCAGTGCGTTGCAGTGAAGCGGTCAAAACGCCAATGAAAGATTCGCAGTTGTTGCATTTATCTCGATTATTACTGTTACTTGAGTATATGATGAAGCATCTGTATGACGCACATCCAGTATTGCTTGAACAAGTAAGATATATGTATTTGTTATATACATGTCTGCCACGGTATATTTATATATGAATTTCAAAGGCATTCGGTAATTTCTTCATTATCATTGTTCCGTAATACATTCACTCATTATATTCATTTATCATTCATAATATTTCATTTTGATTGCTTGATATTTTTGTAATACGGAATCGATACTGAATGCTAAATTAAAAATATTGGTCTGTATGACTGATGCAAGATAACAGGGCCACCAGTGTGAAAGCGCCACCTGAGTGGTAGTAAATATCTTGTACATTTATATTAATTACACTAATTACATTAATTACATTAATTCTAGTTTTTGCAAAATTTAATTTTCTCTTTCTGTGTATAGGTACAGTGGAATCTGTTCTCTGCTACAAGTTTAGTATATGATACAAAAGATGCAAATAAACAAAACAGCAGAGCCTTTACTCCTTGGGTAGAAATAGAGGATAATTATCGTAAATACGGCTCACAAGATGAATTTTCAATGAAACCACGATTTTATAATTTATCGAGAACAGATTTTAATAATCAGGATGCTCCAAAATTGGATGGATTAGTAAGTATAATATTTGAATAAAACAAAAAAAATCATTACAAAGAAAATGTGAGCGAATTTTCTTACAAAAATAGATTTTAACATGAAAAATTGCACTCCACTATTTTGCTCATTTTGATTCATAACTATAAAGAGGAATTATGTAACTATTCTTTTAATACAATTTTTTATGATACAGACCTTTCATGCAAACACTGAATCTTTCATCTGTAATAATTTTTTAAACAGTTATGTATAATATAAATTATTCTACAGGCTTGCAATTTTATTCTGGGCACACCGGATAAAATGAAATATCCTCTTTTAGTCGATGCATTGATTGATATTTTGAATGTGCTTAATCAAACAGATATGCACAAAAAAAATGGTGCTGATAATAAAGAAAAAATAACATTTACAGGACTGTGTGCAATTCACTATTGTTTTTCTATATGTTGGGAGTAAGTATAAAATGCTTTTGTAGATTACATATACATGGACATACACTACATGATTTTATATATTGGAAACTTACACTGTTGTAATATTTTTATTAGATTTAATTGTAATATATATGTACAAAATGTAATAAGCCGTATGTATTTATAATAGATTATTATTGATGTTACCTCCCTCGACTCCTTACATGAATAAGCTTGCTCTTGGCGAGGAAATATCAGCTGGACCAATGTTACTTCATTCATTAATATGGGGGCCAAGAGCTGCATATAAGACTTTCACCGGTTGGATGAAGGTAAAATAACATAGCTGATGTCTTTGTGTTTTTGTGCTACATTAATGATTATTTTTTTATAGGATTGTTTGGTAAAACAAGGAATGTACACACAGTATGCTGAAAATTTATTAAAAACAGTGTCATCTACTGTAAATTCCCTCAAATATGATGTTACCTTGGCAAAAAATTGTATTGTTTCACTTAAACCTGAATATAGCTCTACTGATAAAATAATGCCAAAAACGTCTTTACCAAAACTTGGTTCTTTATACATACTGGCTGCAGTTGTAGGAAAACTACAAGTTCTTATGGATGAGAACATATCGAAGAACTCGACTGAGAATATTGAAACCACTAAGTATGTAAATTAAGTTGTATTTAGAGGTATTTTTTATAGATTATATTACTTTTATATTATAATTATGCGAATCTTTTTGTAGAAGTCCACAAAACACAGATTCTACATCTTCAAACAGGAGTAAAATGATAATTGAAATTCTACCACATATTTTATCATTGACAGAAGCAATTCTATTATCATGTCGGTCTAATATATTATATCATACATTCGAATCTACTGAGGAGGATACGAAATATGATACACGAGACTATTTAATTTTGGATAATATTCTGTCAATGGCAGGTGCAAATTGGGGAACAGAAGCATCGTTGGTTTCATATTTGCCGAGTAGCATTAAATCTGCGTTAGATAAGTGGAAGAGTATAGCATTTCCTCTTGTAACTTGGGTAAGTTAATAATTGTGAAAATAGAAGTGTTTTGAAAAGTAAAATTTGTGTTATATATATATATATATATTAGGTTTGTAAGTCTATTGTACATATGATACAAGAAAATAATATACTTTTGATTTTACAGCATACATATGCAAATGATATAATACCAGCTGAAAGTTATATTCTCACTACAGTGAGTTATCATGTTAGTTCCCTGTCTGAACATCCAACGTTTTCTATTAATCCGTCTCTGAAAAACTTGCTGCATTGTTTGATTTCATTTATAATGGAATATATAACGTAAGTTTCAAAATATTTATAATTAATTATAATCTCCATTTAATATTAATTTCTGTTTTTGAATTTTCTGCTTTTCTAATTCCCTATTCGTTAACGCGATACTTTTATTTCAGTGCTGCGGCATCTCCGGAACAGCAGTCAGACATACATTCTCAAGCAGTAAACATCCTTATTTCAATATCCATGGATGCTCGCACTGATTATCTTCGAGATATGGCTACAAATACATTAACGAAATTATTAGGACAGGATAATGACAATGAAGCACGACACTTGCGAGAGCACTTGTTTGTGCTAAATCATACTTACAATTTGATAATCGACTATACTGATACTACAAATGGATCTATTAGGTAAATGCGATAACGTATTTGTAAACGAGTAGAAGTTTTTTGATCGACTAATGTTCTAATATATCACGATTATTATACATAAATATTATACGATTTTTAGTGTTGTTATCGATGAGGAAATATTGAAGCAATGTATCAAATATTGGGAGCGGCTTTTGGAGAAACCTCTTGGATGTAAAGCTTTAGACATGTTTTTTGCTTCTGATTCAAATCACAGTCTTGTATCTATCTTGTTGTCTATAACGTCACTTCAAGCCTCCCTACAGTTTAGCACTTACATTTTACACTTTTTCAACGCATTGTTCAGAACAGGTAAACATAAATTAATTTATAAGGACTTTTAAAGTATTTTTGATATGGAGAAAATATATCAGTTTTATTTTTTACATAAAACCTGTGCGTATTAGCCGAAAAAACGACTGACGGATCGTTGGATCGTCTCTGCAATTCTGTGGCCAGTTTTGCCAATGTCGAAAGTGAGAAATTGCAAAGTTGGTTTAGACACGTCATATTAGGAGCAACGAGTAAAATACCGACGAGTACCTCTACAACGAATATTCCAACACCTACAACTGCTGCCACAAATACGTATGTTACTAGAATGACGTACTCGTCATTTTAGTTTTGCGAGATATACATTTATACTTATTTGCGTTGATATGAAATGATAATTTATCATTATAGAGTGGTAGCTGTCTCTAGTACACCAGAAGATAGTCAGAAACCGGATGAGAAAAACAATGCATCTAATAACGAACAAGTTCAATGGGCGATTTCGGTATCTGACAGCACCAACAATCAACCTGTGACTAATAACGACGAACAGCACTCAATCCACGAAAATAGCCGTTTCTTGCGGGCGCTTACAAATTATATAGTAAAAGATAAGAGGTGAATTTTCAAAATCAATTATCAGTAAAAATTAAATTATATGCTCCTTTAAAAACTAAATTATACTGAATATATATTTTTTAACAGCAATACTAGTGTAGACGTCTCGATAACTATTCTCCAAGCTCTTATACCATTAGCGTACAATATTCTTTCTCCTACAATCGAAGGGAATAGGTTCTCGGAATTGATGCATATTATGTCTACACTGGCCGATGCTGGATCAGAGAAAGGACATAGATTACTATTTAAAGCTGCGACTGAATGGGTCGAACTTTGGTAGGTTTTTAAGGATGTTTGAAGTTACAAAGTCTGCTTACATATCATAGGCGCGTTAATTTTGATATTCCGATAAGAATGAAATTGTCTGTATTTATTGTAATCGAACATTTTATATTCTCTCTCTCTCTCTCTCTCTCTCTCTCTCTCTCTCTCTCCCTCTCTCTCGTAATGTACTCACTATGGAATTTATTCTGTACAGCAAAGAGCAAATCATGAATAAGGATCCCCAGACTCTCGACAAGCCATTACTATACATCGAAGCTAGTTGCTGTTTGTTAAATTACATAGCCGACATAGTGGGTGCGATTTGTCCACAGCAGGCGCAGTCGCAAGATCGAGCAACTAGTCCACCGTGGGAAGGTGCTATTCCTAATAACGATGTGAATGACAGCGATTGGGTGGACGAAATTCCGCACGAGGACGATGATAGCGCTGCCGAGGATTCGGACGAAGACAGTCTGTGCAACAAACTTTGCACTTTCACAATTACGCAAAAAGAATTTATGAATCAACATTGGTATCATTGTCATACGTGCAACATGGTCGATGGAGTCGGTGTTTGCACCGTATGCGCGCGAGTGTGTCATCGCGGACACGATGTGACATATGCCAAATACGGGAACTTCTTTTGCGATTGCGGCGCTAAAGATGACGGATCATGCCAAGCATTGACGAAACGTAGCCCGCAAAGTTCGGAACATCAGGTAGGCAGTAATATACCATACAACAATATTGGAGCTCCCGTGGAAAGCAATCTGCTCCTCACAAGCAGCTTACGCCGAAGAGCATCTAGTCCTGTACATTTGTATGATAAACACGAAAGAAGCGGACGTGACATTCAGAAACAAGCATGTCTAGCCAAGCAACTGGGTAATAATATTATACAGTTTTAAAAAAAATAACACTTGTTATAAATATCATTCTGTTGTCACTTTCTATTAGGTTTTACTTATTTGATTTATAAATGGATAAAAATGAGCGGAAACGAAAATTTGAAATGTCATCTAATGTGATTATAATTTAATTTATACTTGTTAACTAATATTTAAATAATTAATATTTGTAGAATCTTCTAAAGATTGGATATATTCTCAACTATGGAAAAGTGGATTAGTGTCTTCGTTAGTGGACTTAACACATGTATTGGTGCCTGCAGTGGATGTATCTTGTCAGCGTTACTCGCCAGTTGGTTGCCATGCACGAGCCCAATTGGCGCTTAAACATTTACATACACTTGATAAGAAGTTTGAACATACAGATCAACTTATGGTATTTGCATATTATTCTATAGTATTATTCTGTAATATTAGCGTTGATACCATTTGATTATTTTTTGGATTAAACTTTATAAGAATGCCACAAAATTTAACTAACTTGTAAGAATTTATAGTTGTTAAACAATTTGATTTTTTACGCATGCGGTAATAAAATATTGTTTGATATTTTTATTCTATGTATATGTGTTATGTATATATATAACATCTCTCTAATAAATATATATTATTTCTCTATTAGTTACCAACCTTGGGATCTCAGGAGGGTGCATTTGAAAATGTGAGAATGAATTATTCAGGAGATCAGGGTCAAACAATTAGACAATTGTTATCCGCTCATATGATACGACGTGTCGCCATGTGTTGTCTCTCATCTCCACATGGTAAACGACAACACTTAGGTGAGTTTACAAAATAGTATAGTTATTTGCAGTCTTGTTGATAAGTAGATAAAGCTATAATTGACGTGTCTTCGTTCAAGCAGCAGTTTCACATGAAAAGGGGAAGATAACAGTGTTACAACTTAGTGCGTTGCTGAAGCAAGCTGATTCTTCCAAAAGAAAGTTAACTTTGACAAGACTCGCTTCAGCTCCAGTACCTTTCACTGTCCTTTCGGTTACTGGAAACCAATGGAACGAGGACTTCTTGGCCGTTTGTGGATTTAAAGATTGTCACGTGCTTACATTCAACAGCTCAGGAACTGTGTCCGATCATTTAGTCTTACATCCTCAGCTCGACAGCGGGAACTTTATTATCAAGGCATTATGGCTTCCTGGTGCACAGACGCAATTGGCATTGGTCACCGCCGACTTTGTTAAAATTTACGACTTGGGAAGAGATGCGTTGAGTCCACAATATTATTTCCTTGTGCCAACGGGAAAGATAAGGGATTGTACCTTTATGCACTCAGAGGATGGTACATTCCACATGCTGTTAATGTCCTCAGCCGGATACATTTATAGCCAAGTGATGGACGAGGAGAGCTTAGCTAAGCACGGTGCTTTTTATGTGACAAATACCTTAGACGTTTATCATCCGGAGCTAAAGGACAACGGTCAAGTGGGCAGTGGTGGAGTTTCCATTTATTACTCCCATGCGTTGCAATTACTGTTCTTCAGTTACGCTTGCGGTAAGAGCTTTATAGCGCCGTTGAAACACATGGTCTCCGACATTACCGTAGTGTTCCAAATTAATCTGGCCAACAAGACTAACGGGAATAAATCCAATAATAACCAGCCGCAACCTTTGTGTCAATGGAGCGAAGTGGCGAATCATCCTGGATTGGTTTGTTCGATTATGCAAACCAGTAATAATCCAGTAATACTAATGATTAAACCCGACACGATCATGATACAAGAGATTAAAGTGGTACCTGTGAAGGCGAAGATTATGGATATGGTTGCGATTCGACATCCCAGTTCGAATGCTGAACATCGCACGACTCTAATACTGTTATGCGAAGATGGAAGTCTGAGAATTTATATGGCTGGTATGGAGCAAACTGGATTTTGGATGTCATCCACCGTACAACCGATTAGCACTACCTCTGGCATTAAACCGACACGAAAGAAAAAAACTAACAAGATAGGAAAGCCATCGGGATCACATGTCACGTTTCCTATTGATTTCTTCGAACATTGTCAAATGATGAATGACGTCGAATTCGGTGGCAATGATCTACTACAAATTTATAATGTCGCACAAATCAAACATCGTTTAAACACCACTGGGATGTACGTAGTCTCCACGAAAGCTATGGGTTTTAACGTGGAAGTTACAAATAACGATGCGATTTTAGTAATGACGGGAATAAGAGTACTTTTCGGCAATCAGGACATTCAACGAGCACCTCTGTATGTCGAGGTAAGTCGAGATGTATGTTCTTGTGGTATATAAAGGTTTTTTTTTGTATTATATTTCAATCAAGTTTCACGATTATCGCCTTCGCAAAGGTATTCGGCAGAAGTATACGGACTACGTTAACCAGAAGTCGTTGGTTTGACATCCCTTTAACTAGAGAGGAAAGCCTTCAAGCTGACAAAAAATTAACGATCACTTTTGGGCCGTCTCAAGATCCAGAAGGTGTTATTATGGTTGATTCCATAAAAATGTTAGTAACACTACAATACAATATCATGTCTTTAGACAGATACATGAGATGCAAATGCAGACATGATATATTTACATTAAATTGATGTTATACTTTTTTTTTCATAAAGATATGGTAAGACTAAGGATGCATTTGGTTGGCCTGAAGAGATAGAGGAACCTCAACCAACATCTGCGCCAGTGACGACGATCAACAATGAAACTGACAACACTATCGTTTCTCCTGCGCCATTATCTTCAACCGATAAGTACGTCAATATTCATATTAATGTTCAATCAATAAGTATGTTAAAATAATTTTTATATATGTGATACATTAGTTATAATTACTTTATAAAAAGAGTATTCTTTAATCCATGCAATGACGACATTATCAGAACAACAAAGGATAGTTCGGTTAACATAGAAAGGTAAGAGCATATTACGATTTTATTATCGCAAAAATAGGACTAGATTTGGCAATTTGTGTCATCACAGAATTAGTTGACGATTTATGATTGGCCTAATGGTAGTTTGACGAAAAAGAGCAAACATTTGTCTTTAACTTTATGTCTTTGGCTGATAGCATGCGAAATAAATTTCGGTAATCATTTTTCAGGAAATTAGTCTATTGTTATCCTTTCTTCTCTTTAACAAATTATCCTTATGTGTGGGTTATATCACTATTTGTACCAATTACTTATGTGAAAATAAATTTAATTAATTAATTAGGAAATATCATATAAATTTGTCACGAAAGTGCACGATTAATTTTGTATATCTTGATCGATTTTATCAGTAACAATACACTTTAACCATTTTTTTTTAACTTATAGGATGATATCCAGTATTCTGGAAGTCTTGGAATCTTCGTTTATCTTATCCTCGCATGACGACAACAAACCGTCGTTAAAATCCACAGCGATCGATGTTGCTTCGCAATTGTTAATATTACCTACACCACCATCTGTGCAAATGCATACAATAGCTTTGTTAGCTGCTCTTCACAACACTAAACAGGCTTATCATTTCCATAAGGTAATAATAATTTATTTATTAAGAATTTCTCACACTTGTACATATATTCTACTTAAGTTTTTCTGCATTTTCTTCAGGACCACGCATTGTTATCGCACGTGCTTGAGTCCTTAAAATCAATGAGAGAGGCCAATGACTCATGTGATATCGACGCGGAGAACTTTTACAGACTTGTACTTATCGTTCGTGCTATTGCGGTTTCTCGTCCGCATAATCTCGCAAAATTTGCCGAGCAATATGCGAATAAGTCGATTGATGAGAGTAACGGTATGCATTGTAATTATTAATATTCCTTCACTGCAGAGAAGCAAATATATCATGCTGTTTGCTTTTCTAGTGCCTGTTTTCGAAAAAGATCGCTTAGAAGCTCGTTCACGTACAAAAGCAGACGGAAATCAACACCTAGTTATACAATTGATGGAGATATTATGGTCCTTGCATGTGTCATATCCTAAGAATATGGCACTTGCTCCGGTGGTCGTACCAGGACTTACACATGCTGAGGGAACAGTGCATGCCATTGTGGAAATCATTCATGCCTTCACTATATGCGACGTTGAAAATAATACTCCGATTGCCGCTAAATTATATCTGCAGTTGTTACTGTCTTCAGATACGATAATCAGCTTCAGCGCTAAGCACGCAATAATCAGAGTATTGAGGCCCAGATATAGACGCAGGAGGGTGTATATACCGAGTCCGCCAAATTGTAGTACGCCAGGTATAGAGAATAAGAACTATTTTAGCATTATAAGAATAAATCTACTACAAGAATAAATCGGATATATTAAATTATAATTTCTTGTTATAACACAGGCGTAGTTGCCGAAGCCGAAGAAAAGTCCACCTCGGTTCCATCGCAGGCCTCTCAAGACACTGTGGAACGTGATGTAGAACAGCAATTTGACATCGAAGCCGTCGAAGCCGTGGATAGAGTGGCAGCTATGCTCGGCGCCGAGGGAAATCAAAATTCGGCAGCTGCTAGAGTGGTGAATCATCCGCTGGAAGCATTGCTCGGCGCGGGTAATTTCCCGCAATTACTCGACGTGCCTCCAGATGCTGATGACGAAGCGATGGTAGAGCTCGCAATAGCTCTCAGTTTACAAGATCACGAAGGAGGTGCTGACTTGCAAGCACTACGGCAAGGATTCCAGCAAGGTTTCCCTAACTTGCAGGGTATACAGAGCCTCCAGAATCTAAGCGGTTCTGCGTTGCAGAGCTTGCAGAATTTAGCAACGCAGGGATTGGTACAAGTTCCTAGTGCTACTCAGGTAATGTTTCTTTGTAACAATATATCGCCTTTACAAATGTTACTCAAATTTTATGGAACATTCAGTCGTTATTTTTCGACATTCGATAAGCAAAAATTTAATGTTGCGAATTAGGGACAAGAAGCTGGCCATTATTCCGACACGACTGCCTCCGCGGGAGGCTCCGACGATGAGGGATCAACTGCCGCAACCGATGGTAGTACCCTACGAACATCTCCCGCCGAGCAAGTGAGTTACATCTTAGCATACGTACTCTGCCTTGGCGCTATTCAGCGAAAGTATGTGGACGTGGATCAACAGAGTCTTAGAACTTGCACATATCGTAGTAACGCTTGGGACACATTTTATGTTAGGGTGGTAGTGGTGGTAGCAAGGGTAGCGAGAGCGGTGGAAGCGATAGCGGAGGCAGCGCCGTTGACAGCATGACAGGGGAGCATAATGTTTCTGGCAGGAGTTCCGCGTACGGAGACAATGCTCCCGACGCTATGCCTCCGATTGGAATTGGAGTCAATCAAGCGCCACGTTCTGAAACTAATACTCTAGATGTTCCCACAACTTTCACTGTAAGTTCAGTGTACTCTGTAGTACAGGTTACGTAGCAGACTTACATATGTTCTTGAAAGCAGGAGAAGCAGTGGCGGAGACTGGACGATACTCGCGTTTCAACGTCTTGATGTATTCTTATAAACACCAAAGTTTATTTTCACCCATGATGTAATATTCTTTCTCTTATTTCACTCGAACTCGTTTCATCGTTATTTACTTGAGACTGACTTCATCCGTAGTCTTCTGTTATTGCTGGGATCATAGTTGATTTTGAGATCCTAGATGAGAATCTACTGTTTTTTTTACTGTTAATTCTTCTCGCATGTTTAATTCGTATAAGAAAACCGATTTCGAATTTCCTCTGTGAAGAATAACTTATAACTGCTAAGTTAAAAATCACTTTCATACCTGTGTACGTTACTTCATCGAATTTGAATTTTCATTTGAAAATTATGTTGTGTATATATCACTGTATACTTATTTTATGAATTAATCAGTAATCTGTAGAGATGTGTACATAGTAATTTGTACATATATTATAGATATTCATCGTACAGTCAAACCATTAAAGTAAAAGTATATCTTGTTTTAAAATTGCGCATGGCATATATGTATATGTATGGTATATGCGAAGTACACTGCACTGGTATTCTTCATAAAAGATTGGAATATAGAGAGTTTAGTTGTTAGGGCAATTGTGTGTATATATATGTATATATGTGTGTATATATATGTATATATATCTCGCGAGAAATATCATACTTAAAAGACCTGCTGTCTTCAATACTATATATTGTTGAAAGTGGATCTCACGGGTGTTCCTTCATATTGCATTTCTGAAGCGAATCTGCACTAATCTTAACTTCTTTCATCGAATTGCCCATCGTTCAAAAACTTGGACCTCCGTTCTCAAAAGTTGCCTTTAACCCACACTGCCACGAAAACATTATTAGAAAATATCAAATCAACTAGGACTAAACGAATATCTCTCATCTCAGACATTTTTATTGAACGTGCTATAAGACTTCGTTGAATCCCTCTAATGTGTGATTGGAGTCTGAATGAATTAGCAATGGATAACTTGAAATCAACTATTTGGATTGAGTAAGCAAATTATTATAAAGACTGAGCATTCGTCAGAGATACAAACTGCATTCCATTGAGGCTCCGAATCTGCAATTATGTGTGGAAATTTAATAGTTAAGATGTCATTCATAGCTTTATCGAGAAAGTTACGTCTAAACGATCATATTGCACGCGTTAATAATACTTTTTATCGTAAACTTGTTTCTCATATACATCTAAAATAGTATTATTAACGCATATTCGTTATTTTACTCAGAAGTTTCGAAACAAAGAATGGTAGAACCAATTAGTAAACGATATAAGTATATTTATATTTATGAATTATTATTTGTCACCACCATTAGACCACTGAGCAAGAAGAAGGTACGGAGCAAGAGCAGGGTGTGGAGCAAGAAAATGACACAACTGGCGAGATCACCGTGAAACTACATGCTATACGCCTTTTATTGTTGGATAGATTTACACAATTTGTGCCCAATCTGATAAACGTTCGAGGAGTACTCGCTATTCCGTTTATGCAGGTATTTTTCCGTAATTTTATACAGTAGCGAGAAGTTACGTATAAATAAGAAAACAATTTAAAATCTGTTATTTTCTGCTAGGTTGTGCTAATGTTAACTTCCGATCTCGATGGTCAAGATGAAAGAGACAAAGCATGCGTCGAGCGTTTATTGCAAATGCTCGTAAAAGAACTTGAAATGGATAAACCTGATACGAACAATATATGCGAACGCAGCAATAAGAGGGAAGTCCATCTGGTTATTATGCGCTTATTAAGTAAGTAAATAATAGTGCATTTGCAAACTTAAATGAATATATATTAATGATAATATATTATTGGATATATAATCTTTACTATTTTCTCTCTCTTATTTTTTTTCCTTAGGCGTTCTTATGTCTCGTTCGAAATACGCCACGAAAACTTCCTCGGACAACCCGAACTTTGTTTCACAGACCACTGCTGCAATACTGAGCAAGGCTGGCGTTATTGACTATTGCCTAACGCTGTTACAGGCCTTACTAGATTACTGGAAAACGTAAGTTCACTGCACAGATACTTTTATGACTTTTTTGGAATCAGTACAAATATCTTACGAATGAATTTGATTTATTAGTACCACTACCGAAGAACCTGGTACTATGATAGGAGGTCAATTGCTTAAAGAGCATCTTACTATGTCGCCTCCAGATATGTCACCGTTCTTTTTGCGTCAATATGTCAAAGGCCATGCTGGCGACGTATTCGAACCTTATCCTCAATTACTTACGGAGATGGTGTTACGATTGCCATACCAGGTGCACAAATATGCAGAAAGCACGATAGTGCAACCTGCGTTTGAACAGGTAACCTTTCTTTTATACTCTCTTTTTGGCAAGAGTACATTATAATTGTCTCAATCTGTACAGCCGTGGTATTTCTATCTCTGTGAATACATGATGTCATACCAAACGCCGTTTGTCAGACGACAAGTACGTAAATTGCTGCTCTTCATTTGCGGCAACAAGGAGAAATACAGGCAACTACGAGATCTACACGCTCTTATATCTCACGTGCAGGTAATTTTAAAGAACAATAATGCACTTTGAAGAAAAACCAACGTTGGAAGCTCACTAACTTTTTAAACTTTTGCATCATCAGTCCGTGCAACAGTGCTGCAGCACCGGTGGATACGATCCTTTGCATGCGCGTCCGCATTCTATCAGTTTGCCTTACGATTCATTGGTAGAACTGATCGAACATCTCAAATGCTGCGTGGAAATTGCTACCAGCCGTACAGGAAATTGGCAACGATTTTGCCTGAAGCAGAACACTGTTCTGTCATATCTGTTTTCGATATCGACGCTTTTGGACGAAGGTGTAAGCCCCACGGTGCTTCAATTGTTGCAATGTGCTATTTGTTCAAATAACAAATGTAAGGAAGCCAGAGATACGAGATCAAAGGTAAATGTATCAAAGACGAAATAGAGTTAATTATTACATTATTAAAGAGATTGATATTTATTTCGTACATTTTACTGTTTCCATCAGGACTCTAAGTCAACGACCGGCACAAAAGAGAGACGAGAACGCGAAAAATCAGAGGATTCTGATACAGAGGCTAAATTTGAAGAAGCACAATGTTTAACGTTGGTTGAACAAATCCAAAAACAAGTGCATCCTGCATTGCTAATAAAGTTTATACAGACTTTCTTGCTTGAAACAAACAACACAAATGTTCGTTGGCAAGCGCATTCTCTTATACTTGCTATTTATAAGTAAGTTGTCAGTTTCATTATTTATATTCTAGTAATTATATATTCTGATAATTTAATCGATTCGAAAATATAAAATATGTATTTTTCAATTTCATTATTCATTTTTCATTATTTATATTCTAGTAATTACATATTCTGATAATTTAATCGATTCGAAAATATAAAATATGTATTTTTCAATTTCATTATTCATTTTTCATTATTTATATTCTAGTAATTACATATTCTGATAATTTAATCGATTCGAAAATATAAAATATGTATTTTTCAATTTCATTATTCATTTTTCATTATTTATATTCTAGTAATTACATATTCTGATAATTTAATCGATTCGAAAATATAAAATATGTATTTTTCAAACTTTAGAAACTGTGGACCGTCTGATCAGGAGGTCCTGCTAGATCTTCTATGGCGCCTATGGCCTTTACTTCCAGCTTATGGCAGAAAAGCGGCGCAGTTTGTCGACTTACTCGGTTACTTCTGTTTAAAAACACCGCATGCCGGAAAGAAGATGCATACATACATGGAACAAGCGGTAGCTGTTTTGCATGCGCAGAATCAACTACTCGCGCGACATTCCAACGCAAATCTTTATGTGAATTTGGCACAATTTGTTGAATTAGACGGTTATTATTTGGAGAGCGAACCTTGTCTCGTGTGCAATAATCCAGAGGTGTCAATGGCGACGATCAAACTGTCATCTATCAAGGTGGATTCTAAGTTTACGACGACGACACAAATAGTGAAGCTAGTCGGCAGTCACACCATCAGCCGCATCACTCTACGCATCGGCGATCTAAAAAGAACGAAGATGGTTCGTACTATCAATGTCTACTATAACAATCGATCGGTGCAGGCTGTCGTGGAATTGAAGAACAAGCCAGCGATGTGGCACAAAGCGAAGAAAATTACGCTCGCGCAAGGACAGACGGAAGTCAAGATGGAATTCCCGCTACCGATAGTGGCCTGTAACCTCATGATTGAATACGCCGATTTTTACGAGAATATCCAGGCTTCATCCGAGATGCTGCAATGCCCACGATGTTCCGCCAATGTGCCAGCAAATCCTGGCATTTGCGCAAATTGCGGCGAGAACGTGTTCCAATGTCACAAGTGTCGAGCGATTAACTACGACGAGAAAGATCCGTTCTTATGTCACGCTTGTGGATTCTGCAAATATGCTAAATTTGATTACACACTTACCGGTAGGCCGTGTTGCGCTGTCGATCCGATTGAGAGCGACGATGACCGGAAGAAAACGGTAACGACCATTAATACTCTATTGGAGAAGGCGGACAGAGTGTACAAGACTCTGATATCTAACAAACCCACGCTGGAGATGCTGCTCATTAAAATATCTGAGCATCGTTTAGACCGTGGGCTGGAAGACGGTATACAGATATCCGGTAGCACTCAAGTGAACAGAGCAATTCAGTTGCTCGCGCAGAGATATTGTGGCGAATGCAAAACCTCTTTCGAAGAACTCAGCAAGGTTATTCAACGTGTTCTGGCTTGTCGCAAGGAACTCGTTGCCTACGATAGAAATCAACGAGGTCAAAGTAGCTCGCAGTCGTCATACGGTATGTCCGTAAGCGACGTTACGAAGGACGAAACGATAGTCTCGCCAGTGGGACGCTGTTACGGTTGTGCATCCGCTGCAACGGAGCACTGTCTTACTCTATTACGCGCGTTGGCCACCAACAGTGTCGCCAGAGATGTTCTATGCAAACAGGGATTGATTCAGGAACTCGTGGAGCATAATTTGCGAAAGGGCACGGTGCAGATGCAGGAGGAAGTGCGACAGCTATTGTGCCTCGTCACGAGGGATAACGTGCAATCAACTAAGGAGATATGTTCTCTTCTAACTAATCGAATCACGCTGACGCTTCGTGGACGAGTCGCCACTCCTGATCTCTCAATTGCTGTGCGTCACGAAATGGCTCTTCTCGCAGCACTTGTGCAAAAAGAGGACTCTTGCTGGGAGCAGAAATTGCGATGCGTTATGCAGCTGTTCTTGACCGCTTGCAAAGAATCGAAAAGTCCCGTCGTTATGGAAAGTATCATATTGCCATGCTTGAAAATCTTACAAGGTCTTATTAAACCCGACCAACCGGTTTCTAAAAAAAATAAAGTAAGTGTACAATCAGTTATCTTTTTCTTCCTTCTTGTGCATACGATTTAACTTATAATTCTCATATTAGGATAAGACCATGGAGTCTCTGGCGACAATACAGCCACCAGAAGGCATCAGTATTGATGTGGGTAAATGGATCAGCGGTGATCCCAAGCATTCGTATTCCGAATGGCTTCACCGCATGCCGGCTAAGAAAACGGAACCACCTACAGCAAAGCCTCTTAAAAAAGTTAGTATAAAATATAAGTAGCTAAGAAAATTTTTAACACAAATAAAATCGTAAAATCGCATTCGTTGCATTAATAATCATAGAATAATAATAGAATTTTATTATTTTACTATCTTTTATAGAATATAATAAATAATTTATAATATTTATAATTATAATATTTATAATAAAATTTCAAATATTTATAACAAATAAAGCAAAATATAATAAATTTACTGAAATAGTTTCATAATTCGTTGAATTTTTTTACTTTAGGATGAAGCTCGAGTGTTGTATTTGGTAGAAAAATACGGGCATAGATGGCATCAACGTTATATGCGGCATCAAGGCGTTCAGCCGTTGAAACTGTCCGACGGTGCCTGGTTGAAGGAAGTACTCTTCAATCCTAGTTCTCGTTTAGCGCGACAAGTCGCTTGCAACATGATAGAAAGCCTGTGTCAAGGCACAGAGAGAAAGAAGGAAGTTCTGGTTTTGCTGACATGTTATTTGGAAGAGTTACGTACCGCTGGCGAGAGCAGTACCGAGTTTCTGACTTTATATCAAAGCTTAATTAGACAATCACCTTGGAAGCAATTTTTGGCAGTGCGCGGTGTAATGACTTTACTGGCAGATCTCTTGACTAGGGAAATAGAAGAGTTACATCGGCTAGAAGAGACTACGTTGACTAGCGATCTCGCTCAGGGATATTCGCTAAAAATGCTCACGGAACTTTTGGCGACTTTCTTGGAACAGGAAAATATCAAGCAGCAATATAAGGGACGACTAGTCGGCGCGGTATTAAACGGCTATCTGTCACTCAGAAGACTCGTCGTACAACGTACTAGACTGATCGACGATACGCAAGAAAAACTGTTGGAACTTTTAGAAGAAATGACGACCGGTAATAAAATCAGTTAATAATTTGGAAGCTTTCTGCGTTTAAATATTTGTAAATAACTATACATCGTTTGTACATGCCAGTAATATATATTTTTTTGTGTATCAGGTACCGAAGAGGAAACAAAGGCATTCATGGTAATCTGTGTTGAAACTGTACAAAAGTATAATCCTCAAGACGTTCGTACTCCACTCTTCATATTTGAAAGATTATGTTCGATTATCTATCCGGAGGAGAACGATATCGGAGAATTCTTCTTGACGCTCGAAAAAGATCCACAACAGGAAGATTTCTTGCAGGTGAGATATTTCTTTCGTATCTTGTTTTTTATTTGTTTTCGCGTAAAATCTTTAAACTTAAGAATATTTGTCCCTTACATTTTCACAGGGGAGAATGTTGGGAAATCCTTATAGTAGCTTGGAACCCGGACTCGGCCCACTTATGAGAGATGTTAAAAATAAGATTTGTCAAGATTGTGAATTGGTTGCGCTTCTGGAAGACGATAACGGTATGGAACTTCTCGTCAACAACAAGATTATCAGTCTGGATCTTCCTGTCAAGGAGGTAATTGTTAATTCCATAAGTTTATATAATAAAAAAGTATATAATGTGAATAATTAATCTTGGAAAACTTTTTTTTTCCTATAAGATAATCGAACATATTTTTTTCATTCTTTGTTTAGGTTTATAAGAAGATCTGGTTGTTAGAAGGCGGTGAATGCGATGCCATGCGAGTTATATATCGTATGCGTGGTCTTCTTGGCGACGCTACCGAAGAATTTGTTGAAATTTTAAATGCTAGTAGCGAACAGGAAGTAAACAATGAGGAAGTTTTCAAGATGGCAAGTGTACTGGCGGACTGTGGTGGTCTTCAAGTCATGTTAGATAGATTGGCCGTGATACACGATGTAAATCGCGCGAGACCTCTTTTGCAAGTGCTACTGAAATTGTTTAGATTGTGTGTTAAAGTGAAGAAGAACCAAGAGATTTTGAGCAAACCCGAATTAGGAGCGATCACTGTGTTTCTGGACGTTCTTCAACGTTGCCTTGCCACAGACCCTGAGAACTCTCAAGCGAAAATTACTGAGCAATTACTGGATGTAAGTATTATAAAAAAAAAAGTTAATACGCGTAATGTTAATCATGTTCTCTTCAATTACTTTATGTTATGCTAACTTAAATATTTTTTTACTATTTTTAGATTATGGAAACGATATTAGCGAATGCGGCTTCACAACATCTCAGTGTATTCGAGACGTTCTCACATACTCTCGGTGGTCCGGAACATGTTAAAGCACTTTTATCGTGCACACAGTCCATGGCAGTGAGACAGAACACTAGCGTGCTCGCGCATCTTACAAGAGTTTTGGCAGCGTTGACTTATGGCAACAATGAAAAAATGGCACTCTTGTGTGATTACTTTAAACCGGTGTTAAACTTTTACAAATTCGACTTCGAGCACACTCCCGAGGATGAGCAGAAGCTAGAGCTCTTCTGCATACTCACTCAAGGTATTAAACGAAATGCAATTGGCAATACGTTGAAGGATTACATCATAAGCATGGGTATAGTGAAGGATGCTCTTGAATACATCACCGTGAGTAAAACGCTGTGAAAAGTGTATTTATTAGAGATTAATTAACATTTTTCTAAGATTTGTGAGATTGATTTGCTTTTTTCTATTATATTTACAGGTGCACGCACCATGCGTCAAACCCACGCTCTTACGCACAGATAGTGACGAGCTGAAAGATTTTATTTCTAAACCAGCCTTGAAGTATATTCTCCGTTTCCTCACGGGTTTAGCTACGGATCATGAACCAACTCAGGTAACGCACAATACATTTTACCTTCACAAATCAGTTAATAATACCAATTATTAATTATTTTCATAACCTATTATTAAGTTTCACAGATCATCCATAGATTGTTTAATTGGATATTTGATTATTTTACTGTTATTATGTTGCAGTTGGCGGTGTCGCAAGTAACCATTAGCATATTCCATAAATTAGAGCAAGTGTCTTCGAACGATCATGTAGGCTCGTTGGCGGAGAATCTGTTGGAAGCATTGTGCACCAATAAACGAGTAGCTGAATTAATTGAAGAAGTTCGCCAACACACACGCAGCGAGAAGAAGCGTTTAGCTATGGCGATGCGAGAGAGACAATTAGGTGCACTTGGTATGCAAACTAATGACAAGGGACAGGTCACTGCCAGCGGAACTATTCTTCAACAGATGGAAGATTTGGGAGATGAAACTGGACTAATCTGTGTTATCTGCCGTGAAGGATATAAATTTAAACCAAATATGGTAAAAATAATGTTATACTGTTTTATTATTTACAAAGAGCGTTTTTTTTTTTATAAAGTTAACGGAAAGTATGTAATTTTACATGCCAATAATTTCTAGTTGATCTTTCTTAGCGGAAGTATTTACGATATTAATAATTTCCGCGATAAAAGTCACACGCGCTTCGACATTTTTGCAAAATATAGTTGAATGTTCTGCACATTTATCGTTTCACTGATATCGTTCTTTATTATTCTCGCTACAGGTGTTAGGTATTTATACCTTCACGAAGCGTTGCAACGTGGAAGAATTCGAGACGAAACAACGAAAGACCGTCGGCTACACGACCGTCACGCACTTCAACGTCGTCCACGTGGATTGTCATATGTCCGCGGTGCGTTTGGCGCGCGCTCGAGACGAATGGGAAAGCGCGGCGTTGCAGAACGCCAACACGAAGTGCAACGGACTGTTGCCGTTATGGGGCCCGCAAGTCCCGGAATCTGCTTTCGCCAGTTGTTTAGCTAGACACAACACTTACCTGCAGGAGTGTACTAGTCATCGCGATATATCGTACTCGTCGACCATACATGATTTGAAGTTGCTTTTCTTACGCTTTGCTCAAGAGAAAAGTTTCCACGAGGACACCGGCGGCGGTGGTCCCCAGTCCAATATGCATATAATACCGTATTTAATACATATGGCTTTGTACGTTGTTAACTCGTAAGTACATCTTGTTGGAATTTTGAAGGTATTCAGCGAAACGGAAGTTTGTTATTGATATTATAATTTGATATTCGCTTGCAGAACGCGATCAGCAACTAGAGAGGAAAGAGCCCTGACGACTTATCTGGAAACGCAGCCAGGACCATCATGGCTCGAGTGTTGTTACGAGGCAGAGGGGCCGTTGTATCAGTGCACGCTTTCGCTGCTTTTCCTCACGCCTGATCGATGGGAATTGCATAGATTTGTACATCTCAGTCGACTGCTCGTTCTCGCGCATCAACGCTACGTATCTCCCTCGGCTTCCACGAAAAACATCGTAGATCCAACCCCCAAGGATTACGCAGTTTATAAAAGCGTTTTAATCTTCTTTGGTCTAGTGGATTGCATGTATACATACTTCTTCAAGGTTACTGCAATTTTCTTAACATTAGTCTCCTCATATATTAATTAAATCATATTTGTTTGTCTAAAGACATGCTTTTCGTGTTTACAGAATGTAAATGTTCTGACCGAGGAGCAGTGGCCCACAGTTTTAGCTGAATACATCAGGCACAATGATGAGACGATGTTAAAAGCCTCTGAGCGCGTGCTTGCGATATATCGCGACGAGTTATTACCGTGCACATCGTTCGAGGAGTTTTGCGATATCATTGGTAAGTCCTTAATGTACAAGAAATTGAAGAGTTCCATGTAAAAATAAGTTAACTCAAGAATTGGCGATATTTCTTTGCATTCGATAATGCAATATATGGAAACTAGAGATTTAAAGCTAAAATGTTTCTTGATCTAATTATTGTTATTTTTACCGAAGCTAAAGCTCGTCGAGTTCTATTTTTCATGATTAACAAAATGAATTTTTAAAATTCGTTCTTATTTTTTTGACTACTCGTTTCAATTTTATTCGATTAAGATACTAAAAAAATATTTCATTTACAGGCATATTGGAATATATAAGAAATCCTCCCACGTATATCTATGATGTCCTGCGGCGCTTCGCTTGAAAATACTGGAAGTTCACTTTACGTAGCTTATACTGCATTGTTACCGGCGAATCAGTTTCCTTTTCTTTCGCCCAAATGATATAGTCACTTTCAAGACTTTCATATCGGAAGGAGTTTCGTGTTACATATTACAGATTGATTAAACGTGATATATTCCAGTCTTTCATGGTGGAATCTTTTGCTTTGAAAAAATTATGTTACGTGATAAGAAAGATTAAGATAAATTATTCTTCATGTTGCATAAATCTTTACTTGTAGACAAATATGTATCTATATGAAAAGAACTTGTGCTTTAATAAACTGCGACTAAATAAAGCGTTTACATATATTTATCCGTAAAATCCCTGTTGTATATTATCCTCACGATAGTGTTTCTGCACCGAGATATCTTTTCGTGACTTAAATCACCATTTTTTGAAAAAGATTATTCCTTTTATCACTAATGTTTTCACTAAGATTATTTTGAACATATATCTTTTATACAGTTGTAGAGTGCAGGATACAATTAACGAAAGCGCAATCGTGTACCAACAGTTTTTCTTTATTACCATTAGTGCGATAGCAAATACTGTTACAATACATCGTATAGGAATGGTGTACGATCGGCAGTGAAGCACGGTCGTTGTAAATGTGTTTCTTCGCTATTAATAATTATTTACTCTCCCTATACGGTTAATAAAGTCAACGCTAATATCTACTATAAGTTAATACTATTGTCTACGTATATAGCCTCCGTTTTCTCTCAAGAAGTTGCTTTTATGTGCAATTCTTATTTCGTGACAACGAAGCTCTCGCACGAATGTGACGCTTGCTACGCTCGATCCGATATTCTTTTTCCTGGCAGTGAAATTGTCGACTTCTGCGACGAAATGTAAAAAAAAACGAGATGAGAAATTTGTTTTTACTCGATTTCTATAAAAACAGCAATACGTTGTAAACGCATTTGCAAATGGCTACATTTAAATTGTCATTTTTATTTGACATTTAATTTATAAATTTAGCAAGTTCAATATACTGAATGTATATGACGAGTATTTTATCCTGCAATTGTTAACACTTTACCACTTGGAAGTCTATTTTAATCAGTTTCCTTTTTGTTGTCATCGCCTATAAAATAAAACAAAATAATGTGAGTACTATTTCAAATTTAAATCTTAAAATTGTATAGCGTTTTACGAACAGAACTCGAGAGCGGCTGATAAAGCGTTAACTATTGCGTTGCTATAAATAACAACGAAATCTTGCTCCATTATTACGACTATAACGCGTGAATACTAATTTTATTTTTATATATCGAATTTGATGCTTTATCTCTCTTCGTGTATATATCAGTATTTATCAGTATTTTCAAATAATTTTTCCGAATGGTTTTGTGTACTCTTTATATCGGATCAAGAAGCAAAACATTCTCCATTTCTCCCAAGTCTGCGAATAACAATATCGTGAGAGAGCTTAAAATTTTTGTATGGGTGTGTTTGTTTGTATACCACTTATCATTACTGCTTAATACTATTTATACTGGCAAGCTATTGTTGCGTACGTTACATCTAAGGTATCGTTACACCTTTACGTCAACGATCTACTCTGAATAAATTAGTTTAAGGCTACTTTTTCTCTCAGCTCGTCATTTATCATATTTAGTACTTGAGAAACTATCGTCGAATCACCTGAACGGTTAATATATCACAATCGTCACGCGATAAATCGATCCGATACTCAAAAGGACCATTAAATAAGACTGTAGCAAGTGAATTTATTATGATTACTATGATGAGAATTATTATTATCAATTACCAGTTGCGTATTATTTAGATTACAAATAGTTATCTAAATAATATCGATCTATAAATTCGATTAGTTGGTTTGTTTCATGCTCGAGAGGGAAAATGCTTACTTTTCAAATTATGCTGGAAAGCTAAATAATCTCTCATCAGAGTAAAGAAATCTGAAAAAGAGAGGGATTCCATGATCTTGCACATGCATCCGTGACAGAATACACGAGTTACTTTTGTCAAAGCAGTTGTTTTTTTCTCTCTAAGAATTTTGACAGAGAATGACAACTGGCCAAGTTTCACACAACTGCGTGAATTCTCGTATCGGACAATCCTTCTCGCACGACGAATGTACAGAGTATCGTATGTAATATAATAATAACTTACGCTATACTAATTTTTCTCTTATTATTAGACCTGTTACGGTGCTTATTTTGGTCTAAAACGGACGTCAATGCTAATTAGATTCGCGTATATGTGACGACAATATAATACTAAAATTACGATAATTATAAGAATTTAATCTCGACGGTAATAACATTAATTGCAATAATTTATGACGATAATAATATGTTAATTACGGTAATAATTATACAAGAATAACGATAATTTTTATTAATCGTAACAATCCGTAATCATGAGAAATAATAGCGCCAAGTAATAAGATGGGTTATCTACAAGGGAGTGTGATCGCGGATGATGAATCGTGAATGCCATTACGTACGTACGACGACAGTCTTCTTACCGTAATTACACATACCTCTATTTCTACGCTGATAAATAACGGAGTCCTTCACTAACTTAAAACAATATTGACGTGTTTGCGTCGAAAGCACAGTGTAACAAAGAAAAAAAATAAAGACTACATCAATTAACACTTTAACTGACGGATCGTTTTATGTGGGGGAGGGAAAGAGGAAGGGACACATAGGAAAGGAGAGAAGGAGGGAGAAAGGGGGCGAATGTGCGCCAGTAGGCCGAATCTCTAATTTTATAACGACGATGTCGCTAGCATGATGTGTTGTTGCGCAACAGCTTTTCTACCGCGTATTATATTTGCTCAACGACAATACAACGATAACGACATTGTTGTTAAAAGTTACAGAATCGACTACAGGACCGTCAATTCTTTCGTCACGGATTATTCGGTGCAGTTACATAATTTCTAACAATATTACTGTTCGTTAATACGCTAATTACACGCATCCACGCACTCACTCATGCACGCGCGCACGTACTGTCACGCAATTAATTAATCGCGACTCGCGATGGACACACACACGCGTGGGTTCGTATACATATCAATACATACATGCATACATACACATACATACACACATATGCGTGCGCGCGCTCGTACATTCAACCAATAACGCCGCCGGCCGAATGTCGCTTGATTTCCCCACGAGCCGATTTTCTTGCTAGGAAAATACGCCAGAAAAACCGATTGTCGATCACAGACTTCTGTATAACTACTAGACTGCTAACTCCCTTATATATTGCTATGTAAAATTGACCCCGAAAAGTATGTATCACGCACCGGAAAAAAGTATCTGCGCATGCCTGAAACTGGTGTTCCAGAAGAAGAGAGGATATAAATGTAATATGGCCGATGCCGTAATCTGCTTAAATATTGTACGTATAGAGTGAAAAACGTCAGAGTAAAATACGTTACAGTAAAAAATTTTTAAAAATAAGTGATTGATCAATTGTATACCTACATCAGAATATTCATAGATTAGATTTTTTTTAGTGAAACAAGTGCCTTCATTTCAAGCTCGGCACATACTAGCGCGTTTGTTGAAAAAGACTCCGATGGAGTTTTAGACGCATTGGCTGATCTTACAGTATATGATAAGATACATCAGAATGCAATAATGCCTAAAACGAGATGCTATATTGTGAATATTGAACCACCAGATAGGCGCATGTGCGAGATTTCTGTACATATTTTTCGGAGTTATGTACTGAGTCGAAGTTAGAGGAGCAGTCTAGTAGTATATAGAAGTCTGTGTTGCCGATTCGTGGTTGTATGGCGCGCTATCGTGGAGAACGATTAATCAATTGCACGAGTGCCTCTCGACGAAGGGCGTGAGAGGAAAACAGAGTAGCCGACGGCGACGACGTCACTTTGCACAGTTGTACGTATTAGAGAAAAAAAAAGGAACTAACGAGGTTTCTCCGGAGTGACCTGACCTACTGATCGTCGAGCAACTCGTTGATCGTCTCCGCGGACTTATTCCAACGAAGCGCGACAAAAGCAGGAACATTCGTTTTTTATCTCGGATAAACTTCAATTTGAATTTCAGAGCGCGCGATTCGATTCAACAATCCTGTGGCTTTCCCGCAACGAGCGCTGATTGCGGGAATGTGAGACGAGATATTCTCGGATCAGAGATCAGATCGAAACCGGCCGTCGTGCGTATGAGTGCGCGTATCAGTCTCTTCTCGTATGCGTCTGACGAAAGGAAAAGGGAGGAGGAACGGAAGAAAAACGTAAAAAAAGGAAAGAAACAACAAAGCGCCGATCTTGTACGAAGACTCGTGAACACGGCCGAGGTTCCACGATTATATAATCCCACGCAGACGCATCGCGGAAAGCGTCGTTGTTCTTCGTGATGCGTTGCGCATGCACGTAAAAGAAATGAAAAAGAAAGAAAAAAATGCGAAACGTTCGTCTCGAAGTAAAACATGTGTCCGGGCGTATTTTGTCGCGTTGTGACGGGTAAAAATCTCTCCCTGTACCCTCGCGCACAAAAAACACGAAGCATCGTCGAAAAGTGTGTCCCAACTGATTGGCGTATCGTTAAAAAGCGATTATATCGTCTCTTATCGTCTCTTCCTCGATCGCGAGGGAAAGGGACGAAACAACGTCCGCCGCGGCTCGTTACCGCTGCTCGAAAAAGTGCGCCGCCGCCGATCGTTCGACGACGGGATCGCCGTCGGGAGTGATGATCTCGCGGCGAAATTCGCGCGGTAAGGAAAGAGCGACGTGTGTCGCACGCCGTGGCGAAGGGCGACGAAGGGTGCCAGACGAGATCACCGACTGCGGCGCCTGGCACCACCGATCTTCTCTCTCTCTCTTTGTATACAATTCGGCGCGTCGAACGCCGCATTTGGAAGGCATTTCAAAAGGCATTGAATTCCTAGTGTGTATTGTCGCGAGTTGACATCAATTATTATGCCTTGACCTACCTACGAGCACGCGAGATTCTCTGCTGCGTTTGTACGATTAAGAAAAACCGCGGCGAGCGGAATCGACATCTCGGGCTCGATCGTGAGTCTTCTCTTTTAGCGTGCAAAGTGGAAGTTTTGTCACTCGAAAGCATCTGCAAATGCTCTTCACGTTTCGCGAGTTCACGCTCGAGGGAAAGATTCACCATCGAGCTCTCGCTTCGACCTCTGAGCCGAACGAGGCGCGCGTTTCGACATATTTCGAATTTCTCGAAACGTGCTCATTAGTTTACGAATGTATTGCATGTGTACGTGTATTCGTGTCTGTGTGCTTGACTGTCTGTGCGTGTATTTGTTATTGCTCTCCCGCGGGTAGAACACGGCTCGTCGCGTGTCAAAGTCGTTTAAAAAAGTGCGTCATCGGTGAACTCGATGACCGGTGATTTCGTTGTACTATCGAGAGCTACTTTATTTCCTGCGGATACTTTCAGCGATATATCGAGAGAAAAAGGTTCTTTCGAAAAGTCAGGGCAGTCGCGGTTAGCATGTCCCGATTGAGTCTCGTGTGTTCGATATATTTCGTAACTCCTTTCATCCCTGTAGTACATTCCGCATTCATGTCGCGCGCGAGGGAGGAGTGCCTCCGCGGTGATCCTCTCCTTCCCTCCCCCGGCGAGTCCTCCCTCGGACATCAACACACACACATACGTTTCCGGTGTGTTTAACTCGATCCGAGATAAAGTCGCAGAGCGCTCGATTTCTTCCGCGTAAAAAATCGCCACTCGGTGGCGAAAGAGGCATCGCGGTGTAAAAAGGACGATCTGCCTTCGAGCGATCGCGCAGACGGATTATTCGTGCAGAGCGACGCGCACGTCAGTAAATTGTGTGTACGCGAACGTGCGGAACGTTTTTGCACGCTGTATCGCAGGCGGTATGCAACGCGCGCGATGGAGCCTTTTTTATGTATTTTTTTTTTGTTTTACACGCTCGCCCGCTACCGAACAGGACCCCCGTCCGGACTGATCAGCGATAGATTGCGCTGGAAAGCTGCAACGTTACATGTTAATGCCACGGAGTGAGAGGAGGGGGAGGGTGCGTGGTCCCGCCCGGAGTAACGACGCCGATGCAAATTTATGCTAAGGGAAAGGGAAAAACGATTGCTCCTAGATTCGATAACACCCGATGAATAATGAAGGAAGGCGGAGGACCCGCGGAGGAAACTCACGATGAACCGATCGTCCTTTGGTAATACGAGGCAATGAACGCGCGGCGAGGTCGTTCGCCGTTTAAACCTTTTTCGTTTTCAGGACCTCGAATGGAAAAGAAAAAGAGTATGAAGAAGAATCGCCATTAGATTCTTAAAGGAGTCGCGCACCGGGACTTCGTCGAACGTTGATCCTTCGGGCGTTGCTGCAGTCTCGACGGATTATAACGTAATCTATCTATCTATCTACCGAGAATCTATCTATCTATCTTTCAGATAGATTTTAGATGTTCCATAAACTTTTTCAAAAATTTTGTACAAATCGCCGCGCGTGGCAAGGCGCACTTCCCCAAATTTCTGACGAACAGTATAGCGAATTGCGTATAACAGTTAGTGACAGCTATAAAGAAAAGAGCGACTGATACAACAGATTTAAAAGAAAAAGCCGACTCGTGTGAGGATTTCGCAAACCGGCCGTGATCATGATCGTGACGCGTTCGTAGATAATCTTCGTGTCCAAGTGATTGAGCACAGCAACGATACTCTGTTTACGTCTATCGTTAAAAGTGATTAATCTTACGGAGAGATGTAATCGTGCGTTCAGCCGATATTATTAATATCAATGAATGTTGCCGCCGTGCGGAAAAAAGAAATAAAAAGAAGAAGTATCAACTCTCTCGCGCGCCTCGATCATAAATCACGCTCGTTGCTGCCCGTTAACGAGGCCCGTTAACGAGTGAAGAGTAACGCGCGTCATTGTCTATTTAGTCGCGTGCTCGCGTGCACGTATCGCCAGTAAACTCTGATATATGAGTGAGCGATCCGTATCGATTGGATTCGCGATGCGTTAAAAAGCGCCGCGCGTTTCCTCTCCAGCAGTTTCCCGACGCACAGCCCGTCGCTCGACGAGTCCACATTCGCGACGTCACGGTGTCACACTGTCCACGAAGTGCGACCCGCCGGGTCAGCAGGATCTCGCTCGGGAACAAGGTTCCGCGTTACGTAAAGCGTCGCGCGACGGAGAACAGTCGCGGAAAAGTCGCCAAGTGCAATCTCGCGATGCTCTCGCGGGGAATTCTCACATTTGCCGGTGAACGAAAGCCGTCGTTGGGTGCTTGTTACGGGTGGCCCTCTTCGATCGCCCCCGTCGCCGCGCAATCTCGACGGAAACGTTCTTGTCGAGAAAGCGTCGAGAATTGCAGCAACGTGAGACGACAGTTCCTCTCGCGATAGTTCCGATGATCTTCGACGAAGGACCGCCGCGCGCGAAGAGTTCACGGTGAATCGCTCGAATTACTTAACTACCGCGCTTGCATCCATCCTCGATCGCAACGATGGATCGTATTTGACAATCCTTCTGAACGGAAATGTCCCAAAAGAGCGCGTCCAAATCATCGGTGAACTTCTTCGGAAGCCACGCACGCCGAGAGAGAGGGAGAGAAAAGGGCACACCACCCTAGCAGATGGTCTCCAACGGTGCGGTCTTGGTGCTCGGATTCTGCGTCACGCTATCGCCCATGCTGGGCATTCCGTGGCTGGTCGTGCTGTGGCCGTTACCCTGCCTTCCGGCGTTGGTCTGCGGGTTCCTGTTGCAGAGCCTCTTAAGCGCTGCTCTGACCTGCGGCTGGCAGCCGACCGCTGCAAAAATCAGTACTCCCTGGCAAGCGTTTATCAAGTCGGTGAAGTACCAGATGTACTGGGGCCCGCCGACCGCCCATGAGACTACGTCCGCCACCCAGGTGATGCCCATCACGATCACGAGTTTCATGCATATGCGACCCAGCGTTGCCCTGAAGCCAAAAAGAAATTCTTTAGAATTAAATAGATATCAAGTTTTAATATAAATTCCTTGATATTATACTTAGACAACGCAAACTTCGCAAAAATCTTTTAAAGATATCCAAAGGACACTCTTCCCTATTTCTTTCAAGCGACTTTTAGATGCCTTCAAGACGCCTCTTATAGATTCGCGGGTAGTTGGTCAAACAGTAACTTTCAATTAAATAGCAGACAATAAAGACTCTCAGGTGGCACAAAAGAATTCAATCGACAGGTCGATTGGCACGTATTAACGAATGCTAATCGCGCACTTGCGGGACCTTTCTTGTGTTTGTTATGCGATTCTGCCTACGCGAAGCGTCTTGATAATACACGTGCGACTTGGAAACTCGAGGCGAAACACGCTGTCAGAACCGGAATCTGAATTCGAGCGGTTCTGGGTCGGCAGTCCGAGAATAATGATAATAGAATGTCATGTAAGTCACGTTTGTAATATCAGCCGAGCCTGTCTGTTAAGCCCGCACATGTGAACGAGAAAGGCTACGTACGCGAGCGAGCGTGAGGGATCATGAGTGGAATTGATTGTAATAGCTCGGTTGACATTTCGCCATTGTTTATGTTACGATCATTGTGTTAGCAACATCAAAAATGCGACACCGCGAGAAATTATTTATCACGCTGCGCAACGACACGCCCACCGGCGGTCAATAAAACAATCATGCGCTTTACGTGACGTGTATAATGAATGTAAATACTGCACGAGACTAATTGACATGCTCGATATGCAAAACACGCGTAGTCTCGTTGCAAAATAACGCGTAATTATGATTCTCTTATTAATTATCAAGTTCATTGACTCTTGGAAAGAGTCCCTGTTTAGAGAAAACGCCTCTGAAATACTAAGAACTGGGATACTAAGATCTCTGTTTTCCCGCGACGCGAAACAGCTGAACTCGTCACGACAACTCGTGGTCAACTAATTGCGAATCACGCTTTCGAGCTTGCGTGTCGAGAATATTCAGAACACGTGACACGTAATTACCTCTTCGAAAATTATTAAAAACGCCGATCCGTCAGAGAAAAAACTTGTAATTAATTTATTTCTTTGCTTATTAGAGTACAAGCGACCACGTAATTTCAATGTCACGCGCTTGAAATGCATCGTGCGGCGACAGAAAACGAGTTAGAAAATTTTCGGTAAAAGTCGACTGCGAGAATAGCGAATCCGATGATTCTCGTAAATTACAGCGGGATTATTTCCGATCGACTAATCTCGCGCTCCTCATGATGACCATTGATTTTCCCTGCTGGAATAAGACGCTTCGGATGCACTTGGCACCGAGATCGGGCACGAAAGACACCCGACGGATAATTCGAGTTTTACGACTCTTCGCGAGCGGGAAATATAATGGCCGTGAAATAGACGCGCACCGCGCGAAGGTGATCGCCCTCGGATAGTTATTAGGCGTTATTAAGTGAGAGTCACGCGAGAGCAAACGCGTTTACAAGGGAGAGTCCGCGAGTGCGAATACACGCGTATCATCGATTCGACGCGCTCTGCATCACATATAATATATGCGTCCCCATCGCGGAGCCGAAGTCAAAGCATTATTAATGCGTTCCGTCAGAATATTCGCAGGCCGTAACAGCGGCGAATACAGAGGCATATCGCAGAATTATGGCGTCATAATGTCGCTCTGCAAACCGTCTGTCCGTCTGGACGGCTGGCCGGCCGGCGTTATCCTGGCGCATGTCGTGCCACGGAGAATTCTATTTTCGTTGGCGTCGCTAATTATTATGAACGGACCGCGTGCAGTCAGTCGGTCGCGCGAAACCAGAAGAGGAACTCCAAAGGGGAAGCGAGCACCGTCATCGCGATAGTCTGAAAATAACGCCGGCGATGGAAGAAGGAAATGACGGGCAAAGGAAGATACAGGAAACGACGACAGTCGCCAGGATGACTTAGGAATTCGATCTGTCAAAAGACATCGCGCGCGAGACCGTGTTCATGTCTCAATCGAATATTCACGGCAAGTGCCAGCTGCTTATGATAAAGCGTGTCGCACGTGCGAGATATTTCAGCAGTTTCCTTTGTCTATGCACGAAGAGAATTTTTTTCCTCCTTCGTATAAATTCTTTTCGATTTTGCTGTGTTTTAGTAATTCAGGAATAAACTCTCAGTGAGGTTTATTTTTTGTTAAGGAACTTAACAAATTTCGCTGGAAACAGTATTTTAATAGCACATTTCAGTTCCTAAAATGTAAGCAGTACATATGAAATGAGAAAGCAAAAAGCTCCCTACTGCACAAAATTCTATAGTAGCTTTTACTACAAAATTCTCTCTGTGTGGATATCTACGAACAATATTTGCGCGAATAAAAATTTGATGTGACTGAATCTGCCAATTATTCTATTGGAATTGACCAATCATATTTATGGTTGGCAAGATTAACCAATCACGGTTGACATTTATCCGACAGATAAAGTTAACCGGAGGTGAAGAAATTGGGCCTGGGTGACATCTTTCCTCGTCGTGTCAGACTCTCTACATTTTATGCAGCTTTTAAAGATCGTTGATTGAAGAAACTTATTGCACTGAAAGGGAGAGCAGTAGTTGATCCAACTAAAATTATAATTATTTTTGGCTCCAACCATATTTTTGATCGTTCTAACACGAAAATGGTAATGGTGATACGCATATAAGGTTATTATTACTAACATAGGAGAATTTAATATAAAAAAATAAAATTTAAATAAAATTTAATAAAAAAATTTGTTTGACTATAATTTATAATAATTATTTCCCCATGTGATTATAACTACAAATATCAATCATTTTGCTCTCAGTGTGGAGCATGGCCGCTCGAGTAATCATTTCGCATCTTCGAGTACGAGAGAGATAATTGCAATTGTCAATTAAAATTACGAAATAATAATTTGATACAATTTACTGCCACACGACATGAGCCGCGACAGCCATTGGGAGTCGATTCTACAAACAAAATACGCCTCGCGTTTGTGTCGGCGCTGCCGGCTCGCAGGAGAGCCGCGCGCGGTATTACCTCTGTCATACATTTGCGCGAGAATTTTACAAAATCGCGAACAGTGGTTGTAAATAAATGAAAAAGGTTTCGGAACGTTGGCCGAATGAATGCAGCGCGATTGATCGTGACAGCTGTCGCGCGTCGAACAAAGAGTGGCCGGAAGCGGGACGTATTGGCCGGAATGAAAGAGAAAAGAGTACGGCATATCGAGGGTCAATATTATGAGCATGGCGAACAACAATAACCAGAAAATTCCTACGGGAGCGAGCGGAGGCGGAGATGGAGGAGGTGGTGGATAAAGTGCGAGCGAACGAGGCGGAATGGTCCATACACGAGAACTCCGTAAATATTGAATCCCGCTGCACTACTCTGTGGCCGGTTGAGTGTGTAAGGCGAGACAATAAGGAGAAGGAAGAGATGCGGGAATGAGGGCGAGAGGGCGGAGGAGAGATCGCGCATGGGGCGGGAATTTCGGAAGGCAACGAACTTGGCACAAAAGACCCAAGAAAAAGAGGTCCATTATCGAGGAGGAGACAGAAGAAACGGACGCGCGATATTCGTGTGAATGTCGGATTTCTTTTCAGATCGCACGCTGTAATATTAACACGTTGACCGTCACGGTGATCATTAGTGGCCGGCGCTGTGATATCGCCATGTGTCACTAATTTACGTATAAAACGTAATCAACATGGCGTGTCAAATTATCTATACGATTATTGGCTCTAGGAACACATGAAAGAGCACATGCTCAATCACAAGACGGTTTGTACACTTTTTATCGAATCAAAACGCAGCTCTTCGAGTTGTCGCAATTTCTAGCCGCTGCTGATAAGGACCCGACGAAATGAACCAACGAATATATGCATCGTGGAAATGCATTTATTCAAACTTGATTATCAGAGTGCTGAAATAACTGATGGGAGTCAGCGTGATCGTGACGGTTGATGAGTTAAATAATTTTTCCAAATTGTATAATTATGAGCGGAGTCACATAAATTGTCGAGAAGTCAAACACTGTGCGAGAATGAGGAGCCCCGAGGACATCAATGAGATATAATTCCATTAGAGTTTCATGCTCTCGCATTTATAGCATGACAGAACGCTATAAATATGTCCTCTCACGAGGAAGAACAGAAATCGCGGATATCGCGTGTCAAGTTATTAACGGGTTTAATCGACTGAGCAAATGATTGATATTGGAGCCACGAGTCCGTGACCGCGCTCGTGCTCAAAGGGACGAGGCTAAACTCGGAAGATAAAAGCGACAACGCGGATATGCAGACGAAAAACGAGCCGGGGCGGACCCGCTGATGCCGTTTATTCGCGGTTGCAAATAAATGTCAATCTTCGCGGACGGCAAGAATGGCGGAAGGTCTGCGAACCCGACGACAGAGTTAATTGACACGAGGGCGACGATGACTGGGGAATATCAAGTGTGTCGGTCCGAGAGGGGGTCGTCGACTTGATGCAAAATTTTCAGCATCGTTCACCGCGACGTCTTGTTTACTCGCGCGGGCTTTCGAAGTTCCTTGACGTGCGTGTACTTCATTATTTACAGGCGGCTGCGCGGCATATGCGCGCGTTATTCTTGCAGTCGTCTTACGGCCGACAACACGCCCGTATGCGATTCGCTACAAAAATATGGGGATACAAGCGGCGGAAGGGTCACCGAGTGCTCTGCGCGATGTGTTCTGCCGGCGAAGCTATCGGGGACGAGGCGGACGCGATAAAGTTGGCGCGGAAACACACAAGACGGAGAATCGCACGGGTGAGGAGCATCAGATATGACAGGACAAACAAGTTATAAGGGCGTATATCAGTCCAAGAGGTAGAAGTGCATCACGTCCCGGGTGCGACTCCGCGCTTGTAAATCCTCGCTCCTCGGAGCGGTCGAACGACTCTCCGCGGTGCCTTCCACCGTGAAGGAGCACGTGAGGAAGCATGCGTCACACGAGAGCGCGACACAC